TTTATCACACTGTTACTTTACCTCCATATGTATCACGCTATCAGTTCTCCTATATATTTATCACACTGCTACTTCACCTCCATATTTATCACGCTATCAGTTCTCCTATATATTTATCACACTGTCACTTCACCTCCATATTTATCACGCAATCAGTTTCCAGACCTATCAAGCCCCAATATCGTTTCTTGTTTTTGACAGCCTCCCTGCAATAACTCTTGTACAGCGATGTAATTCCTCCAAGTTCTCCCCCCTCATTTAAACGGTCTGGCTCCGACTTAGCGCTCCCACTCTGCTTTCTCCAGCGCCGCGCCTTCGCCCCTGAGCAGCTGAAACACAATCTGTGATAGCAACCTTATTACTTCGACATCTGTGGAACGGATTAGACGGCTAGCTCTCCCTTTTATTCACACCCAGTCTTGTTCTTTTCCTGGTAACCTTATCAACCAAGTACTTGAACCGTCGAGCGCACACCCTATTGTTTACAATTCTCTCGGAGTCGCCTTTCCTCTTTTTGTACCGCTTCTTGTGATATTCGCTCCGAAAGGCATGCAATTCGCATTACCAGCTGGATTTTACGAGGAATGTGTTTATCCTTCTCGTATTAACACACTTTCGAATTTTATTGCGTGTTAATTTCTGTTTTTGAAAACTATAGCTACTGGAGTTCAGCTATAGTGTGTGTATCATTGAGGAATTGAGATTTTTAAAGAAGACAGAATTGTATTAGATATATTTTTTGCGTGCAAGTTTATTTGATACGTTAAAAAATGTGTCCCTGATAAAGTTATTTAATTGTTGAAAACATAGTAACGGTTTATAAATATATTGTGATTGTACGAACATGTACAAGGAACGTGTGTATTTGTGTTAAACTTCAAGTAGGCAGATTTGTTCATGTGGTGTTTTGTTTCGTTAAAGTGCCATGCAAGGGCTGGTTTTGACGGTGAGTTATCAATGAGTTCTGTTTATAGTGGACGATAGATGGCAAGATGTAGGTGTCCTAGCCAGACCTAATGGTTGTTTTTGTTGTTGCTGCCGTGGCTGCCGGGAGCGTACGATATGAAGCTGGCTTATGTTTTACCGTTGGTAACATTTTTAGTGATTATTCTATTGTGCTCTGGAGAAGGGAAAAAACGACCGTCTGTTACGAGAGGTGAGTAGTTTTTTGGTTATTTCTTCTTTTTGTTGCGTTTATCGATTTATGTTTTCATTATTTTCTATCTATCTATCTGTCTGTCTATCTATCTATCTATCTATCTATCTATCTATCTATCTATCTATCTATCTATCTATCTATCTATCTATCTATCTATCTATCTATCTATCTATCTATCTATCTATCTATCTATCTATCTGTCTGTCTGTCTGTCTGTCTGTCTGTCTGTCTGTCTGTCTGTCTGTCTGTCTGTCTGTCTGTCTGTCTGTCTGTCTGTCTGTCTGTCTGTCTGTCTGTCTGTCTGTCTGTCTGTCTGTCTGTCTGTCTGTCTGTCTGTCTGTCTGTCTGTCTGTCTGTCTGTCTGTCTGTCTGTCTGTCTGTCTGTCTGTCTGTCTGTCTGTCTGTCTGTCTGTCTGTCTGTCTGTCTGTCTGTCTGTCTGTCTGTCTGTCTGTCTGTCTGTCTGTCTGTCTGTCTGTCTGTCTGTCTGTCTGTCTGTCTGTCTGTCTGTCTGTCTGTCTGTCTGTCTGTCTGTCTGTCTGTCTGTCCCTCTCTCTCTCTCTCTCTGTCTGTCTGTCTCTCCCTCTCTGTCTGTCTGTCTGTCTGTCTGTCTGTCTGTCTTGTCTAGTCTAGTCTAGTCTAGTCTAATCTAGTCTAATCTATAGTCTAATCTATAATCTAATCTATAATCTAATCTATAGTCTAGTTTAGTCCTGTCCTGTCCGTCTGTCTGTCTAATCTTCTTTTACCCCACCAGGACATCACACAAGCGATAAACATCCGATGACACAAAGTGCCATCATGTGGATAAGGATCTCCCATCGAGAGGTCCCAGAAACCGCGTTCAGCCATTAGACCATATTTATGGCCTGGCTATATTGCGTCCCTGGCAAGAGCCACAGTAGGGCTTCAAATAATAAAAAATTGCATCCCACGGAAAGGGGGGGGGGGGATGACTAGATGTAATTATTTTCTCTGAAATTCGGAGTGCATGAACACGAGAGGCAAGTTACTAACAGTCTGCATACAAATAGGTCAAATCTGTAAAATAAATCGGCACTCATCTTCAGGAACAAAACTGGAGTTTTCTGTCGGTGAACTCGAAGAAGAGGTCGTTTTCATTGTAAACTTTGATCAGTTCTTTCGGAGTCGGTCTTTATTGCGATATGATGATGTGTGGAAGCGGGACACGAATGATACAGGTATTTGTGTGGATGTTGGAGAAGGCGATGTTAAGAACCCAGCTGCATAATACATTGTTAGTTAGGTTGACAGCTGAGCATCTGAGAACAGCACTTTAAAAACCACACTACAACGGCCCTGAAATCTGATGCACTTATTGTGGAAGACTTTTCTTAGTGCTTGTGGGTCTTCTAGTCACACTCGCCATCGCCAAGGGCTGTAATTCCCATAACTCTCTACAGCACAATGTAACACTATCTTAAAAAAAGACGGACAGTGGTACTTTCGTTTTAGCTCACCCCAAACACAGGAAATCCCAGAATCCCCAGAAAAGTCCAATATTATAGGGGTGTTACGGTTTGAAATGTACACCTACTTACCCTACCGCTAACCCTGACCTTAACACTCCTATAATACTGAAATTTCCTGGGGATTCCGGGGTCCCCCTGTTTGGGGTGAGCTAAAAACACATGCCTGATTGTGTCTTCAGCTTGCCCCATCCAAGACCAGCCTCTTTTTAGTCTGTGACCCTTAGATCTACCCAGGGCTTCATGAAGGAGGTGCTTCTTGTCTGCAACTACTCTGAGATATGACTTTACTTGCAGAACTTTGAGCCTATCTGCAATAGTAGGCAATGCTAGAATATATCGCATACATACTACCCGCTCATCTCTTGTACATCCCAGAATTACCCGCATGGCTTTATTCTGTATGCGTTCAAGTTAAATATATATATATATATATATATATATATATATATATATATATATATATATATATATATATATATATATATAAAAACAGAGTACATTTTGCTCAGGGGTTGAAATTCTCTAGGTGTATATTTTCAAGCGGTCTTTGTATGTGTGAGTGTGTGTGGTCGCTAGAGCACTGAGCCTTGTTTGTGATCTATTGCCGCCAGTCTTCACTGCAAAGACGACTCATCATTGATTGATTGATTAACTACTTGCTAACATCTTGCTACTTGTCTCTTCCCTTTTTCCTTGAATGTCAGATTTCTCTCAGGTTCTTCAGGGAATTCTTGTGTACCTGTCATTCTCACAGAGACCTTTTCCTGAAATGACAGGCAACACCATCTCGTTACGAGGATGACATCAATCTTTGTCTAGTGTCTGAACGTCCTGGGAGAAACTGCAGTACATTGTTGCTGTTTCCTCCGACACCGCTCCACTCTTGGCCACTTGGAGTGGGTCATCAACGATCTCCTCTCTTCGGGTTGATGGATGATATGCCAGCTTGTACAACCAGGTTTTCCTTCCACGGCGGTTCAAACCACCAATTATTCTGGGCAGTTTTTCTTTTTCTTTTACTACTTCGTCTTTGCCTCTTCACTTTTCAATCGACTGCCATTTTTTTTCCTTCCTTATTTCTTCCTCTTCTTCTTCTTCTTTTCTTCTTCTTCTTCTTCTTCTTCTTCTTCTTCTTCTTCTTCTTCTTCTTCTTCTTCTTCTTCTTCTTTTCTTCTTCTTCTTCTTCTTCTTCTTTTTTTCTTCTTCTTCTTCTTCTTCTTCTTCTTCTTCTTCTTCTTCTTCTTCTTCTTCTTCTTCTTCTTCTTCTTCTTCTTCTTCTTCTTCTTCTTTCTTCTTCTTCTTCTTCTTCTTCTTCTTCTTTCTTCTTCTTCTTCTTCTTCTTCTTCTTTCTTCTTCTTCTTCTTCTCTTCTTCTTCTTCTCCTCCTCCTCCTCCTCCTTCATCCTTCTTCACCCTACTATTATTACTACTACTACTACTGATGCTGCTGCTGCTATTACTACTACTAGCTACCACTGCTACTGCTACTACTACTACTACTTGCTACTACTACTGCTGTTGCTACTGCTGCTGGTGCTACTACTACTAATAGCTGCTGTTGCTGCTGCTACTAATACTACAATTGCCTCTTCTTCTTCTCCTTCTCCATGCCTCCTTACCCTACTACTACTACTACTACTGCTGCTTCTACTACTAGCTGCTACTACGATTACTGATGCTGCTACTCATACTACTATTGCGTCTTCTTCTTCTTTTTTTTTTCTTCGTCTTTTTCTTCCTCCTCCACTTAGCCACAGGTCCTCATTGTTATAACAAACATAGTAAAAGTAAAGGAGCCCTTTGCAGGCGTATTGGGCATATAGGGCTAGAACTATATTTTATAATAGAGCAATTGGCACTTGGTGGGTGATGTGATCAGCATCATGCCGTTCACCTTTACTTCATATGACTCCAAGTTGTAACCACTCAAGGCTGGGTCGACCTGGGAGCCAAGGTCATCTTTGACAACAGTCCTGCTCCATTAGGACCCGAACCACGACCTTCCGATTCGCAGGCGAGCGTATATAACAGAAATAGGAACCGAGAAATAGACCCATAGACACAGGAACAGAGATAGGGAGACAGAGGAGGGAGAGAGAGAGAGTAGAACAGAGGCGATGTTGAAAAAGAGGGACGTAGACACACAGAGCTGCAGATTGACATGGGGTTAGATAGAGAGCTAGGCGCAGGAACGCAAACTCATTGTGCACTATAAAGATCAGATCTCTCTCTCTCTCTCTCTCTCTCTCTCTCTCTCTCTCTCTCTCTTTCTCTCTCTCTCTCTCTCTCTCTCTCTCTCTCTAGTCCTACTACTCCAAAGATAAGAAGAAATAAAGATTAAATCTATAAATATGATATCCCTAGCTACTCTCTCTTCCTCTCCCCCCCCCCTCTCCAAGCTGCATCTGTCTCTAAGTACCAGAAGACATGGCATGGGGATCCCATTGTCGAGTACTTGAGCGACCCGCTTACAGTCAAACGGGGATGGGAACCGGCAACAGGGGATCGTCTTGAGGGGATCAGCCAGGGCGCGGATGTTATTTCACCGGCTGATTTATGGCTCACGTCCCGTCATCTGTCAGGTGTCAGTGCAGTTGCTGATACCCGTTGTCGGGTTCAATTAGTATGACAACATTGGCGTGTAGTGAGGAGTCTCCGCTGTGAGTGGTCAAGCAGTTTGCTTCGCCATAAGGTTAGTTGCGTATCCTTTACAGGACCTTGCAGAACCAACACCAGCAGCTCCTTGCTGTTGTGTGGTTTCTCTAGGCAAATTTACGTGTAGTAGTTTGCCATTGCTCGTGGACGGTCGGCCCCCTGATTCGACTGTCGAAACCAAAGCAAGGCGCATGGTCCGCAGCTGGGATCAAACCCGGCACCCCAGCGTTACGAATCGTTCTTATCGACTTAGTCACAGAGCCGACTTGCTTTGCCATATAAAATCTAAATGTATAATAATCAAACAGCCAGTGTATTAATCGGCACTCAGAGAAAGAAGTAGAAAGATAGAAGGACACACTAGACAATATACAAATCAAAAACTTTTTTTACCGTGCCGGGATTCGAACCTGTCACCTCCATATGGTGTGCGCGCCTCGCTATGAAAACAAATGTACTGAGAACACGACACGTGCTTTTCGCTGCGGTGTTGTTGGGTTCCTGAGAGCCGACCCTGATCCCTGGCGATGGGGTCGTCCTGATGGGCCGTTATAAGTCAGGTAGGGCCTATAAGAATGCAGCCACTCCATGATTAAACTCGTATGGTGAATAACTCGCATCCTGAAACTATTTGTCATATTAATATAATGTAAAAATTTTAATTTGTTCAAGCCTTAAGAAATCGCGTCATAAGTTTCACAATTAGTTTCTTTTTGTTTCGTTAAACGCACTGTTCTTTTTCTCCAGTAGAAGGCGGGGAGGGGATACTTTCGACCATAATGCTACAGTCAGTCATCATCAAGTGCCTTGCCGACTGGCTCAGTACTCCTTCGGTAATATTAAAGTGACCCAATCCGTTTCAAAGTTATCGAGTTGCCGGTTACGAGAGTTCTCTTCTCTCCAATTGCATCCTGGATTTCGCCTGGTATACCGAGGAGAGAAAAGGAGGGGAGGAGGGGGGAGGGGGATGGCATTGCCTGATTTTTTTTTTTAAATATGGCTTCTTCGATCCTTCTGTCAGAAAACTTATATCAGGAGGCCGGTAGCCTTTATGAAAGCTATCGCGCAATCCATATCCTCTTGTGTACCATACAGTTTTGTCTTCATTGTGGTTGGAACAGGCCAGATTGCGTCTCTGTTGTCAGCATACAGTTGACAGTGTTGGAGCACATTCTCAGCATTTTCGGGTGCCACGCTGCAGGGACACGTCTCCGTATTTCCTACACCGAAAAATGTGAACATATGTTGACGAAATCTGTTGTGCCCTGTCCTTAGTCTGAATATAATAGACTGTCCCTCTCTAGAGAGGCGATGAAGTGAGTCTTGGGGAGAAAATCTGGTGTGGGTATCCAGCCACCTTTCTTGGATACTAGATTGTATTAGTGTTTTCATCTCTTGGTGGGTTAAGTCGCTATTTGGTTGTACCATGTCACTGCAGCTTCTGGCCAATCTGTCCGCTATTTCATTGCCTTCCAAGCCTCAGTGACCTGGAATCCACTGCAGTACAGATTGTTCTACTGAAGAGCCTAAGTAAATCAGATGTTGCGTCAAGTCTACAAACTGAGTGTCTTTTGGGTTAACAATTGCTTGTAGAACTGACATAGCATCAGTCAGAAAGACCACTCTGCTATATTTGCTGTGCTGTTGTCCATTCAGGAAAGAACATGCCGCTAGAAGTGCTTCTGCCTCTGCTCTGTAATTGGAGGAATATGAACCTGTTGGTACAGCCTGGTTGATTTTTAAACCATTTGGGCATTCTATGTATATTCCTCCTCCTCCGTCTCTTACTGCTCTCTTGGCTGAACCATCTGTATACACTCGAATACAACTCTGGTGTGGGTAAAGTCTATTGATCTCTCCTTCTGTAGTTGATTTCATATAAGTGCTGCTCATTGATGATTTGGAGGAGACCACTGTTACAGTGGTTCTGACTGTTGGTAGGCTATCCCTAAGCCAAGCGGGGCAGTCGTTGTAAGGTTTAAGTGGAACATTTGGTATTATGAGAGGGAGTTTAAGGACAGCGAGCTTGGCATTTGCGTTCTTAATAAAGCAAGTTCTCTTTAGTCTAGCCTTCTGGGGTTTCTGTAGTCGGCTGTACATGGGTTGTTCTTAAAAGTTGTGGTATTTGGAGAGCTGGGTGAGGATCTTTGTGTCTCTCCTATCTTCCAGATTATGGAGACCAATAATTGTTTCCATATCTGATGGGTGTGGAGCTCATTGCCCCTGTCATAATACGGAGAGCGTGGTTTTGGATCCTTGAGACTTTCTGAAAATTTGATTTAGCTGCTGTGCCCCAAGCAGCTATTCCATATTCTAGTGTTGGCCTCACATAGCCTGTATAGGTCCTCTTAAGGACATTGAGGTTTGCCCCCCAGTCTGTTCCAGCTAACTTCCTCATCAGTTGTGTTCTCTTGAGTCCCTTGCTCTGTGTCTTTTCTATCTGTTTTCTCCATGTGAGTCTTGAGTCAAAGGTTACTCCTAAATATTACGGTGAGTCATCATGTATCAGTGCCTGGCTGCCTTATTTTGAGCTGCAATGCTATAGAAAGATTCTCAGAATATCAAGCACAAAGAAGAAGAAAAAACAATATGAACATTTAAAAAGACCTGAACATCAAGAAAGATTGGCTTATAAACAGAATTTTGTCTCAGAAGCTGAAATAATTTAGTCAAACCAAGCGCCACGACGGATTGGAAAAAAAATAATATCAGGAGGCATGGTGCAAGGAAGGAGAAGCAGGGGCCTACCAACACGAAGATGGGCACAGGATATAAGTGACTCCTTGAATCTGAAAGTACACAAGGCAGGGGAGATCGCGAGAGACCGAGTATTTTTCAGACAGACCGTGGTGAGAGCGACGTTCTTCAAAGTAACTGCTATAGGATGATGATGATCTGGCTCCTGAGAAAGTGGTAAACAGGTAAATCTCGAGTCTCCACAGTACTTGCAAGTCTGTCCTCTTTAGTCGGCATACAGTCACATGGACACATCCTTCGACTACTAACATTTGAATGGGCGTCGACCCATCTTGCAGCCGAAGGCGTTCTTGTAAATCAGTAGCATTGAGAGCTGAGGGATATTCAAAGGTTAGCTATGAAAGAGGGAGAACTCTTGTGAGGAAATCGAGAAGGCGTACCTGGCATTGATAACTGCAAGATGAAGGTTGGAACAACAAACTAGGCATCGAGCAAGTCATTTATGTCTTTCTTTATGATGTTGTAAATCTGATCAGTTCACACATTCAACAAGTTCGCTAACCTCTGTTGGAATTCACAGACTGGATATGCGTTGTCTTTGCGCCCGATTTTTTGGTCTCTGTTTTTTTTTTTTTTTTTTTGCCAAAATGGAAAGGGGAATGTGTGAGTTCGAACATAAATGCTGTAGAAAAATTTACGAATGAGCTGTTTAGAGTATAAGACGAATAAATGTGTGAGAGATAGAATTGAGGAATTTGCAGGGCACCAAGAGCCTCTTTTGCCGTCAGTGGTGAAACGTCGCCAGCTTGTTGATTCCTGCAGATGTTGAGATATAATTCGTCTGCAAAGTCAAGGAACACTTGACACGGGGGTGGGGGGGGGTGGGGGGGAGGGGGGGGGGGTTAAGCCAAAAAGGGGGCAGGGGAGTAAAACCTGGAATGACAAAATCAAGAAATAGAAAGGACTAAATTATTATACATTTGTTCATCAAGCCTGACTCCCAGGTCGACCCAGCCTTAAGTGGGTACCAGGTGCAGTCCTGGAAAGTAAAGGCGGCCTGTGTGATGCTGACCATATCACCCATCAAGTGCCGATTGATCTATAAAAAATATAGATCTAGCCCTATATTCACAATACGCATAATACGTGGGAAAAGGACCGTTACCTTACTTTTTTACTTTATGTTCATCCCTCGAAAGACAGGAGAAAGTTGGGTGAATCTGGCGAGTTGTGTGTGCTAGTTCTTCCGTCGCTACATCTCCATGACCCTAACGGGGAACGGGTTATGCTATGTTATGTCATTTGAACTTGTCGTTGTGAAATTGACAGGAGCCGAACTGCTGGTTAACTCTGGTGTTGTTGCTGTTGATACTGCTGGTTAACTCTGATGTTGTTGCTGTTGATATTGCTGCAGGTTAACTCTGGTGTTGTTGCTGTTGATATTGCTGCTGGTTAACTCTGGTGTTGCTGTCGATATTGCTGCTGGTTAACTCTGGTGTTGTTACTGTCGGTCCTGCTGCTGGTTAACTCTGGTGTTGTGGCTGTCGATACTGCTGCTGGTTAACTCTGGTGTTGTTGCTGTTGATACTGCTGCTGGTTAACTCTGGTGTTTTTGCTGTCGATACTGCTGCTGGTTAACTTTGATGTTGTTGCTGCTGGTTAACTCTGATGTTGTTGCTGTCGATACTGCTGCTGGTTAACTCTGATATTGTTGCTGTTGGTTAACTCTGATGTTGTTGCTGTTGATACTGATGCTGGTTAACTCTGGTGTTGTTGCTGTCGATACTGCTGCTGGTTAACTCTGGTGTTGTTGCTGTTGATACTGCTGGTTAACTCTGGTGTTGTTACTGTCGGTCCTGCTGCTGGTTAACTCTGGTGTTGTTGCTGTTGATACTGCTGGTTAACTCTGGTGTTGTTACTGTCGGTCCTGCTGCTGGTTAACTCTGGTGTGGTTGCTGTTGATACTGCTGGTTAACTCTGGTTTTGTTGCTGTTGGTACTGCTGCTGGTTGACTCAGGTGTTGTTGCTGTTGATACTGCTGCTGGTTAAATCTGATGTTGTTGCTGTCGATACTGCTGCTGGTTAACTTTGGTGTTGTTGCTGTTGATACTGCTGGTTAACTCTGGTGTTGTTGCTGTTGATACTGCTGCTGGTTAACTCTGGTGTTGTTGCTGTCGATACTGCTGCTGATTAACTCTGGTGTTGTTGCTGTTGATACTGCTGGTTAACCCTGGTGTTGTTGCAATAAGATACTGCTGGTTAACTCTGGTGTTGTTGCTGTTGATACTGCTGCTGGTTAACTCTGGTGTTGTTGCTGTTGATACTGCTGGTTAACCCTGGTGTTGTTGCTGTTGATACTGCTGGTTAACCCTGGTGTTGTTGCTGTTGATACTGCTACTGGTTAACCCTGATGTTGTTGCTGTTGATGCTGCTGGTTAACCCTGGTGTTGTTGCTCTTGATACTGCTGGTTAACTCTGGTGTTGTTGCTGTTGATACTGCTGCTGGTTAACTCTGGTGTTGTTGCTGTTGATACTGCTGCTGGTTAACTCTGGTGTTGTTGCTGTTGCTGGTTAACCCTGGTGTTGTTGCTCTTGATACTGCTGGTTAACTCTGGTGTTGTTGCTCTTGATACTGCTGGTTAACTCTGGTGTTGTTGCTGTTGCTGGTTAACCCTGGTGTTGTTGCTCTTGATACTGCTGGTTAACTCTGGTGTTGTTGCTCTTGATACTGCTGGTTAACCCTTGTGTTGTTGCTCTTGATACTGCTGGTTAACCCTGGTGTTGTTGCTGTTGATGCTGCTGGTTAACCCTTGTGTTGTTGTTGTTGATGCTGCTGGTTAACTCTAGTGTTATTGCTGTTGATGCTGCTGGTTAACTCTGGTGTTGTTGCTGTTGATACTGCTGGTTAACCCTTGTGTTGTTGCTGGTGATACTGCTAGTTAACTCTGGCACTGTTGCTGTTGAAACTGCTGGTTAACTCTGGTGTTGTTCCTGTTGATACTGCTGCTGGTTAACTCTAGTGTTGTTGCTGTTGATACTGCTGGTTAACTCTAGTGTTGTTGCTGTTGATACTGCTTCTGTAATTGCGACTGTTATTACTGCAGCTATTCTGATTGTTATTCAAGCTGTTACTGTTGTTACTGCTGCGCTTAGTGTTGTTGTTGGTAATGTCTCATTGCTGCTGGTGTTGTTTTATTGCTGCTTGTCTTGTTGTATTGCTGCTCGTGTTGCTGTAGTGCTGCTCATGTTGCTGTAATGCTGCTTGTTTTGCTGTATTGCAGCTCGTGTTGCTGTATTGTTGCTTGTGTTGCTGTATTGCTGCTCATTTTGCTGTAATGCTGCTCATTTTGCCGTAATTCTGCTTGTGTTGCTGTATTGCTGCTGGTGTTGTTTTATTGCTGTTTGTGTTGCTGTTGTTATTGTATCTGTTTTGCTGCTGGTGGTAAAGTTATACCTGCTGCTGTAAGACATATTCTGATCTGTAGAGTAACGATCGGCTAGTTTTGGCATCCTCCTCCGTCCTCATCCTCTTCCTCTTTCTCTACTTCCACCCCTCCTCTTCCTCTTCTTCTTTTTTTCCCTGCACTTTCACACCTCCTTCTTCTTCTTTTTGCCCCCTTGTTCTTCCAATTCCTCTTCTTCTTCTTCGTCGAAGATGACAGCGACAACGATAGTTTTTTTCCTAGAATTGATGTAAGCTGTCGTCCAGTTCAACTTGTAGCAAAGCTAGTAGTTAATTTATCGCAACCGAACTCACATTTTGATGACGGCACAATGTTTTATTTTTATAATGGGCACTTGGTGCCCCCCCCCCCCCCAACTAAAATGGAACATGAAATGGTCCGGAAAGGTGCAGCATTGTGGGCCCTTGGGAAAACATTGCTGGGGCTCCTACGATAAACACTCCTAGAAGTGTTATTTCCTAAATGTGTGTTATTGTGTGTTTTTAAACATCACAGTGTTCTACTAAGGATGATCCCGCGACAGGCCCAGCAAGCCGGTAGGGAATTTTTTGTCCACATGAAGTTGCTCAAGAATTGTGGTGGAATTTGAAGAAAAAGCGTAATTCAGTCAGCGCTCACGTCATATAGACCACGACCAAACCAGTATCATAATCCCCGGCATCATGTGGGATGAATTGATCGTTGAAGCCCCACTCTGGTTGTTGCCGGGGGTCTTAATATAACCCAACGGTTGAACGGGGTGTCTGGGACCTCTCCACGGGTGATCCTTATCCGATGGTGGCATTTTGTGTCACCAGGTGGTAATCTCTCAGTGTGATGTCATGGAAAAGGGGGAAGGGGGGGGGTGGAAAGTCAGTTGTATCAACAACATTGAAGACACTCTACGCTTTGACGGCTTTCCAATAGCCAGTTGCACTGGATCACATATTATTTGTTCTATCTCCGCTTAACGGCAGAAGTGGTTTATTGCGATGCTGATTCGACACACACAGATTATCATTGGGCCCCTATGCTTGCGGGGGCCCCGGATACATTCCCAGTGGGCTCATGCGTTAAGTCGTCACCGTAATGATAGTAGTGGCGATAGTCGTGTTGATTATCCGCCTCGTACGTGCGCTGAAGAATGTTCAAGGTCTCAAGATTTAACGGCCGAGTTCAGAGCAGACGATAAGTCAGGTCCCTGCTTGCGTGTTGTCTAAGATAAGGCTGGGGGATTGACACTGGCATGCAGGAGCCAGCAGCGAGAGAAGCC